ATTAAGAAGCACATTCTGAAATAAAACATCAATTGGGAGACGAGGAACTCTGCCAAACATGAGAAAGAATGGTGCAAAACCCGTTGTCTCATGTTCTGTGCAGTTATAACAGAAGGTAAGTTGCTGTAGTATTTGTGGCCATTTTGACTTTGTTTTAGGAGGCAATGTCCTAATCATACTTCCAAGTGTTCTATTGAACCTTTCTGCAATGCCATTACCCATGGGGTGGTATGGTGTAGTGTGTGACTTGTCTACACCTGCCATGGTCAATAGTTCCTTGATTAGTTTACTCTCGAAATTAGCCCCTTGGTCAGAGTGAATTCTTTTGGGGAATCCATAAACCAGAAAGAAGTCATTCCAGAGCCTCTTCGCAACTTGCTTGGCCGACTGATTCTGACATGGGAACGCATGGGCCATTTTTGTAAAATGATCAGTCACTATTAGCACATCCACGCATTTCCCATCTCTGAGCTCTGCCGACCAGAAGTCAATGCAGACTAGTTCCAAGGGTTCAGATGTTCGGATACTTTCCAATGGAGCACAAGCAATGGGTTCTGAGGTTTTACCAACTACACATCGATGACAGGTCTTCACATAATCATCAATATCTTTTTTCATTCCGATCCAAAAGAACCGTTGTCTTGCCAGTGATAGTGATCTACTACGCCCTTGATGTCCTGCTGCATCATGGATTCCATGAAGAACTTGAGCCTTCAATGAAGCAGGTACAACAACAAGGTACAATTTCTTGTTTAGTTTTGGATCTCTTTTCTCCTTATAAAGCACTCCATTACAAATAGCCAGTTTGTCATGATGTTTTAGCAGTTGTCTAACACTTTTAGTCTCCTTTGCTTTTTCTTTCTTAGATGGTTTTCGACGTCGCTCAATATAATAGAGAATCCGATGCAAAGTGGTATCCTGCCCCTGCTCACTAATGATGGTACTGTGTAGCAAAGGAGGACTATCCTGTTGTGATTGAAAGAGAGGAGGAACTGCCCCCATCACTTCACTCAAACCACCAGTCGAATGTGCTGCTAGTACAGCAGAAACTTCCTGACTTCCAAAAGATCCTGAATGCAAGGATTCATCACTGGTAGAGTCACATGAATTTTCACCAACTTTCTTTACAGATTGATGGTTATTTACGCACTTGAAAGCATCTTGGACTGAATTATCAACAACACCACTGACATCCTTCAAGAGAGATAAGTATGGTTCAGTAATGAGGCGGTGTCCTATGCAAGACTCAACAAATGGCTCACGGCTCAGAGCATCCGCAACAACATTTTTTGTTCCTGGGACATACTTTAGATCAAAGCTGTAAGAAGCAAGTTTTGCCACCCACCTTTGCTCACATGCATCAAGTCGTGGTTTAGTTAAAATATATGTTAGAGGATTATTGTCAGTCCATGCCGTAAAGTGTCTTCCTCTCAACCAGTGGCTAAATTTCTCTGTGATTGCCCACTTTAAAGCAAAGAACTCCAATCTGTGGGTTGGATAGTTCATTTGCGAGCGAGATAAAGTTTGGCTAGCGAAGGCTATGGGTCTGGCAATATCCTCACCTGGCAAAACTTGCGACAATACAGCTCCAACACCATCAAAAGATGCATCGACAGCCAAGATAAAAGGTTGGTCAAAATCTGGGTGAGCCAATGTCACATTTTTTGTCAAGTCTACTTTCAGAGTCTGTAAAGCCTCTTCACATTCCGCTGTCCAGTCGGCTGGGGAAAGTTTGAGGTAAGTAACTTTCTTTTTTGGTCTGCGTCCTTTCATTACAGGAGTCTGTTTGACTGTGCCTGATGTCAACTTGAATAGAGGCTTAGCTTTTGCCGAACATCCTTCAATGAAATGTTGATAATATAACACCATTCCGAGAAAGGATCTGATTTTTTTTTGACAGGGTGTTTTTCCATCAGGTTCCATTAAATCAGAAGCTTGAATCATGTTTATTGCCTCGACTTTCCCTGGGTCAGTCTTAATTCCTTCCTCACTAATGATGTGTCCAAGGAATTTAACAGAGCGTCTCAGAAAACAACATTTCTTTGGAGCCAGTTTCAGATTGTGATGGGACAACCGTGAGAGAACCATTTCAAGACGTTGAAGGGCCACAGACTCGGAAGGGGCAAACACCATCAAATCATCAAGGTAACAGAGAACACTGCTGAAATTCTCATCTCCAAAGACTGACATCATCATTCTCATAAAAGTGGCAGGGCTATTAGAGAGACCCTGAGGAAGCCTATTATACTTGTGAAGTCCAAATGGGGAAGCGAAAGCAGTGTACTTTTTGTGTCCTTCTTCCAGTGGAACATTATAATACCCCGAGGTGAGATCCATTGTTGAGAAGAATGAGTTTCCACCCAAAGCAGCCAACACATCAGACTGATGAGGTAACGGGTAGGCATCTCTAACAGTCCTCGCATTTAACCACCTAAAGTCAGTGCAGATCCTGAGATCGCTATTTTTTTTCCAAACGAGTACGAGTGGGGACGCATAGTCGCTATGCGACTTGCGAATTATTCCTTTTTCCTCCATTTCGTTTAATGCTGTTCTCAGTTTGGCATACTGGCTTGGTGGTACACGCCTGTATGGAAAACGAAAAGGCTTTTCATCAGTGAGGTTAATTCGATGGACAAATCCTATTGCCTCTCCACAATCCATTTTGTCTCTAGAGAAAACAGACTCATACTTCTCAATAATGCTCAAAAAATTGTCTTTCCAGCGAGCTGACACTTCACATGACTCCAAATCAAGGTCCCCAAGATTCAAGTCACTCAAGACCTGCTTCATCTCATCCTCTGACCTAACCGGTAAGGGTTTTTCAGTACACTACAAATTTGAGTGAATCTGTCTTGGCAGCAGTAAATCTTGAATGGCAATACAAGGTGACACATCAGCTATTTTTGCATTTCTCTTTAACACAATTCTGCAATTAGTGGGGTTGATGACTTTTAAGGGGATAGAACCATCTCCCCATAGTGGTGTTATGATCCTCCCAACCAGTATGTTTCTCGGTCTTGATCTGAACATTGTCGGCTCTACAACAACAGTACTGCCAACTGACAAGACAGTAGACTGCGGCAGCTTACCCCAAACCAGATGTTCAGTCTGTGGCTCTAAAACAACACTCCTGTGTAACTTTACAGTACCAACTTTGTTTGGTATGGATTCTCCTCTCCATCTTTCCGTATTAGAGAGAAGAGATAAAAACATAGAGCATTCATCACTCTCATTGTCATTTGACTTAGACATGAGCCTCCAGTAGCCATTAGTTTCTCTCAAATGCATCAAAAGGCCCTTTATGACATTTGTGCCCAAAATCATCTCTTCAGTTTGTCCAGGCACAACCATAGCAGGAATTAACATGGGGCAGCCGTACACTGTAGCTTTGAGATCATAAACTGCGGTAGGGGTAATATGGTGACCACCACAACCAACTATAACAATGTCTTGTGCTGACTGACTGGTAATTGTTGGGTTGCTTTCCAGTAGCTTTTTTTCAGTGGACTCGCTAATAGTACACGCCATTGATCCGCTATCGATTAAAGATTTAAGGATAAGATCTTTTTCAACTGAAACAGACGTGTGGAACAAACTATCAACTCTTAGAACTTTCTGCACCCCCTGAAATATAACAGTTTTATGTGGAGATGTTTCACTGATCATTTGGCATAAAGACTCATAATCCATTACATCATCAAAATCAGTTATGGGAGATTCACTCTTAAGATCTACGTGATCCTCCCTCACACGTAGATCATTTAGTTTGCCTGCTGATTAACTGAGGTAGAATTTCTCCTTTCCTTTGGACACTTGTTTCTGGCATGGCCAGATGAGAAGCACAGAAAGCACAGCCTGTTATCTCTACAGTGAGTAAAAGCAGAATGTGAGGGGTCTTTGCACACTAGGCATGGTGAATCATTCAAACCCGGAATTCTGGGCATGTTGCTTCTTTTCCATACTGCTTAGTAGCCTGTGCATTGCTACTATTATTCATCAGTATTAGTTATTCATCAGCGCACTTCATGAGCTGTCCATTTGTCGATGGTTTTTGAGCGACATGTCAGTGCAAGCTCTGAATTTGGACAATTCCGAATGAACATGCGAGTGACTTCGATTAATTGATTGTCTAGCACCTTTCCTTGTTGTTTTAGACACTCAACTGTGATATCAGCAGCACGGTTTAAACGCAGCCAGTAATCGAAGGGATCCTCCTGAGGTTCTGGAAGTGTAGTGTAGAAATCTTATAACGGAATAGGAGAATACTGTTGGCAACTGAAATGCTTTTGTATTATAGTGTAAACTGCATCAGGATTTGATTTGATATCCAAACTGCTTGACAGCATTCCCACTTTAACAACATCTTTGGCTGTTTTGTCGCCTCTGAAAGTCGGAGGGTCTCTAATTTCCCTTTGCCGTACTACTTGGATCTTTGAAGCATTTAACATGGACTTTTACTCAGGTGTATATTTACTACCATGATCAGTTTGAGTATGCCTTGATGCCCCTTCTGTTTGACTGTGCAAATTCAAGTGTGTAAGTATGCTATCCGCTAACTGTTGACCTACTGGCTGTACTATGTTACCCATCTGACTTATCATGTCATTGGCAGAGACTGGGGTTGAGGTGTTAATTGGCTGGGCACTGTCAGAACTAGTATAATTCACATAAACAGGGTCCACATTAGAATCCTGACAATGAATTACATTCGCTTCTAACCCAACATTATTGTTTACACCACACATAGTAGGGCTAGGGCTAATGTCCGGAAAGGGAATTGGTGTTGCTAATAAACCTCTTCCTCGACCAATACCAACAGGAGTGCCCACATAATGGGATTTAGTCAACTTTGCGTGCTCCATAAGCAATTAATTAGTGCATTCAGTGTGAAAAAGAAAGTAAAAAAAATCATAAAATTGATGTGCTATAAAATTTCAATAATACCAGACCACTTTTTGGTGTAAACTTGTTAGATAGTCCATCTATCAGTGCTTTTTTTCCGTTTGTTGTTTAAAGTCCTTGATATAAAGTCCTGGATTAACTAATAAAAAGCTTAGCTGCTGGCTTGTGCAGTGAAGGATGAAGACTTGCCCACCGGTTCGATGTTTGGATGATCTTCGACCACCTTGATTGAAGTCCTGAGTCACGGCACCAATATGACCTTTATACTTCACTCCCGAACCCACTTCATTCACCCTTCAGCAATACACACACACTGGACTCGGATGAGGAGGATTTTATTTTGCCCTGCACACAGAGCAGTAACAGTGAGATCAACACGGTTTAACTTAGCATCCACATCCACAGCAGTTCTCCCTAACTCTGCTGCAGTCTATACTAAAAGCTTATATTATTATTATATAAAACAAAGACAGAAATATAAAAATACAGAAAATGCTTAACTAATATCACTGAATAAACACATTTAATACCTTAACACAAAATATAATAGAAAATTACCTGCACACAGAGCAGTAACAGTGAGATCAACACGGTTTAACTTAGCATCCACATCTAAAACACATAACGTTATAACTCCATTAGCACTTGCTGTATAAGCACATGGGGGAGAATATTAAGATGAGATTAAAAGTATCAAAATCAAACAAATATGACAAGAAAACCCACTCTGTCGATCAATAAATGTATATAAAGTGTGATAGACTTTTAAAGCTGCATCCAATCAATAATTAAAATTATATTTTTATATTTTAGTGTGGAGCTAACACAAACCCGACTCACCCACAGCAGTTCTCCCTAACTCTGCTGCAGTCTATACACAGACTCTGTGCGCAATAGCGCCACCGGCGAACTAGCAGGAACTGCACTCCCATTAAAGCAGGATTTAATAATAAACTATTAACATGGTACATATTTATTTCGTTACACATAAATCATTGCAGCATCTTATTAATGGTAAAATTGCACAGTTAATACGAATTTAGAACATTAAAAGATATAAATCTAATAATTTTCTACTGATAATACAATAACAACTTACTTCTCTCACTCCCTTGCAAACACTGAATCACCATAGCAACAGTAAACACAAACTAACAGACAAGAGAGATTTGTTATTGTTTGTAAAGTTGTTCTGCTGCTATAGCAGAAGGCACGATGATGTCATTCTAAAGCACTACTCCCTTGAATGCTGTATAATACTCTTTTATAAATTATTTATATAAATAAATAATTTTAATGTATATTATTTAATCGAGTATTCTCCCAGTGTTTTTTCTCATATTTATAAGGGTATTTCTATTTTTTCTATTGCTGTGTACTACCAACTAGTAACCTGGGTTATCCGGGTTACATTGTGTTTTGCTTCCACCGTCTCATGGTAAAATTGACACACCTTTTTAAGTGTTGCAGGGATAACGGGCTTATCTCCAAAGAACCCCCTGAAATGCTGAAAATATTAAGGAGTATATGGTTATCCAATGTGATACAAAAACTACAAACATGTTCATTACACTAAGGTGTAATGTCGTCAAGATACTGGAATTTCTAAATTCAATACCTTGCAAAATATAAATAATCAATTGGCTACTATTATTGATATAATAACAATTGTATCAAAAATAGTACAAATTTAAAATAAAGATCTAAGTGCTAGAAATGTGTTTACTTTAAATTTCTTTAGAGGGAGATTTTTATTTTTATTTTTTTTCAGATTTCCTCAAAATAGGTTGATGTGGGATTTGTAGCACTTTAAATGCATGTAATGCCTGATTCATTCTTAATTGAGCAAAAAATCCATATATGCCTCACAAAAGTAGTAGAAAATTCCAGGAAATCCCTAAAGAAGGCATGCAGCTTTGCTGTAGTTGAATGAAAATAAGATCTGAATAAAGATAAAAAGGCTTTAACTGATCATTTACACGATAGCAACAATAAATGGTCTATATGTGTTCTTCCAGTCATCTTAGGTATTTCCATAAGAAAGTCGATTTATAATCCGATGCTAACTGACATAGCATTTTGCAGTAGAATATAGCTATAAAATAAGATGCATGAACTCACTGTGATTTAACTATTACAGAAGCAGATGTGACTGGCTATACCATATCTAGATGGATATTTCTAGATATCTGTATCATATCTAGGAAGCTAGTACGTTTTTTAGACTAATTTGCATGTATTTCCATTGATATGATGCACATTTTATTAATTGGTAGTTTTATTTCACTAAAACCACCCATTTTATACTGTAAAAACAAATATTAAACTTCATCACTAGTTAAAACTATTCAGTTTGGCGAAACAGTTGTACTATTACCTCATCAGCTTCAGCTCCTCAAAATAATGAATAAATGAATGAATGAATGATGACCAGGGCGAGGCAGTGGCGCAGTAGGTAGTGCTGTCGCCTCACAGCAAGAAGGTCGCTGGTTCGAACCTTGGCTCAGTTTTCGTTTCTGTGTAGAGTTTGCATGTTCTCCCTGCCTTCGTGTGGGTTTCCTCCGGGTGCTCCGGTTTCCCCCACAATTCAATTCAATTCAATTCAGCTTTATTTGTATAGCGCTTTTACAATGTAGATTGTGTCAAAGCAGCTTCACATAAATGGTCATAGTAACTGGAACAGTGTGGTTCAGTAACTGGAACAGTGTGGTTCAGGTTTTAGTGTTTAAGTTCAGTTCAGTTCAGTTTAGCTCAGTTCAGTGTGATTTAATCATTACTGAGAGTTCAAACACTGAAGAGCCAATTCATCGATGCGTAGCTCTACCAATCCTGAACAATGCTAGGCAGTGGCGACAGCGGAGAGGGAAAAAAAACTTCACCTGATGGGAGTGAAGAAAAAAAACCTTGAGAGAGCCAGACTCAGTTGGGCACGACCATTTTAATTTCTCCGCTGGCCAAAAGTCTTGTGCAGAGCTTCAGTCACCGTGGTGGAGGCTGGAAGATGGCCTCAATGAAGACTCGTCTGTCCCTGGAGCGTCGCTGGAATCAGACTCATGTTCTCCACTCCCCATGACCATCAGCGCAGCAGCAGCTCAGGATATGGCCTGGTCCCGGATATGGAATCCTTGGGATCTTCACGTCGCTGGTCTTGGATCCAATCAGTGACTCCGCCTAATCTGAGGACCTCGGGATGAGTATCCCAAGGTGAAAATAGAGAATAAAGAGAATAATTAGCGTAGCTGCTGTTCATAGTGTATATAAGCAAGATGCAGAAGCCAGTGTGGAACCCGCTAGGTGATGCATTGAGTGTATGCTTTACTAAACAGATAGGTCTTTAATCTAGTTTTGAACAGGGAGAGTGTGTCTGAGCCTCGGACGTTATCAGGAAGGCTATTCCAGAGTGTAGGAGCCATGAAAGAGAAGGCTCGACCTCCTTTACTTGATTTTGCTATTCTAGGTACTACCAGAAGCCCTGAATTTTGAGATCTTAAGGAGCGAGTTGGTTCGTAGCGAGACAGAAGGTCGTAGCGAGACACAGTCCAAAGACATGCGGTACAGGTGAATTGGGTAGGCTAAATTGTCTGTAGTGTATGAGTGTGTGTGTGAATGTGTGTGTGGATGTTTCCCAGAGATGGGTTGCGGCTGGAAGGGCATCCGCTGTGTAAAAACTTGCTGGATAAGTTGGTGGTTCATTCCGCTGTGGCGACCCCGGATTAATAAAGGGACTAAGCCGACAAGAAAATGAATGAATGAATGATGACCATGCAGTTGCGGGATTGACCGTGCAGTGGCGGGGTTTTTTTTAACACTATGTGACAACCAAGCGGCAACCTCCCGCTCTCTCTCAGGAAGCCAATACGGAAGTAACTAAAACTGCAATTCATCCGAAATTCCGCTAGTCCTGGCCGCTCCTGGCTCCAAAACAGAGCAAATTTCAATTGAGCCCACTGTTAGAATGGCCAACTTTACAGCAGAAAAAAGGTGTTTACAGCCTGGTACAAAAAAAGATTTTGGTTAATACAGCTAATATTACCCTTTATGACAACTGTGAGGGGGGTGAATTTTTTTATAACTCATCCGTTTCCTTTATATTCAGTTATATTAAGTTTGCATAATTAAGGGCGTGGCCACTTGAGTGACAGCTAGGTCCTAGGTGCTGAGTGCACTTAATTGTGATCACAAAACATTCACGTGGCCTCCGTTTCCCATGTGAGTAAAGTTATATACTTATATACCATCTCTATGCATGTATTTGTTTTATTTAAGATCATTTATCGTTTATATTTATATTTAAAGCTGTAATGCACTTCAGAATCTGACGAATTGATTAGCTGTAGGCTCTAGAACAGTCATCTGAAGCGTTGTCATACAGTGTTATGCTGGATTTCATCAATAGTCTTACATTAACTAACACGGACTATATCTGAAGTGTTTGGATGTAATTCGAGTTTTCCTCCTGTTGAGAAACGTCATAAGAACAATGTTTAGTGGTTCAATGTATTACTACAGTATTTTTAAAAGACTAAACACTTTATTGATATAGTGTACAACCAAGCACATGTGGTCAGAATACAAACGAGTGACAAGTGATAAAGTATTAAGCATTTCTCCCAAAGTAAAGTGTGTCAAACCAGGTCCAAGCAAAATGCAGCCTGCGTCTGTAGCTCCGCTCACTCTCCGCCTCTTTGCCCTTGTATGGTTTCCCGCCGTGGGTGTGATGACGCGCGAACAAAATCAAGTGGTGCTCGCTGCAGAGCCATTTGAGGAGAGGTGAGCTCCAGAGAGGGGGAGCTTAAGCTTGAGCTCCACCTTTTTTGCACTTCTTCTACGAGTGATGTCACTGGGGGTAGGGTTAGGGGTGGGGTTGGTGTACGCATTAAAACAGCTTACAGGAGGAGGAGCGACAGCTCATGCTCCCCCTCTCTGGAGCTCACCTCTCCTCAAATGGCTCTGCAGCGAGCACCCTCTCAACAAAATGGCGACTGTTGGCCGCGCCTACTTGTGCGTTCTTTTTTTTTTTTTTATTGAACAACAAATATACAATTTAAACATGACATCCAAAAAATACAAAAGTAACTAATAACAAATTAAAATAAATTACATAAATTAAACAAATAAAAAGACAATTTAACAGAGATCTTTACAATGATAATATTTTAACTTAACCAATTAACAGCAAGAGTACTAATCAATTAACTTCAGCTCCTTTGCCACAATAATTGTATTTATACATTTTTCGCTCTTAATATATTGGAGCGATTCTATATACAAATGAAAGTCTGCAATAGCAACCTTTAAACAAGGTTTAGAGTTATTTAACCTGCATTTATGAACATGAAATTTACCTAACAAAATTAAAAGATTCAATAAAAATTCCACAGATAAATTGTTTGAAACAAAATAAAAAATAACGTCTTTGGGGGTCAAATTGCAACTAAAACCTGTAATATACATTCCAAAAAAATTTTCCTCTAGGTTGTAATGCTCTATTTTTGAAAAATATTAATATAATAACTTTGTTTTTACATTTTTTACTACAAAAGTCTACCCCATTTAAGTAAAGAGCAGGATCATTTCTATTAATATTGATACTATATGAAGACATATGACTTCTCGTTAGTATTAATAAACCAGAGGGGATGGCTTTTGTTACATAGTTATATTATTTAAATTTAATAGGGAATGACCATCTTTCCATAAAATTTTTGTAAGAAAGTAATTTAGCTGATTGGTCCAAAATGTCAGATAAGAAACAAATACCTTTATCTGTCCAATTTTGTAGGTAGAGAGATTTCCGATTAACAGTTATATGAGAATTATTCCACAAAATTGCTTTATGGGGTGAGAAATTGTGCACATAACACAACTTCCATGCTCTAAGAGCTTGTTGATAAAAATTGGACAATGTTACCGGTAGTTTTTTAACAGAGTAATCACATGTTAGTAAAAAACGCAATCCTCCAACCTTTTTGAAAATAT